ACAGACAACTAAACGCGATTTTAAACTCTGCACAAAACGCCGTGGTTTGGAAGCCTGCCGTCGGAGGATACACCTCAATCCACCTTTGGAGCGGGTGAAAGCCCGCTATGGGTCTATGGTATGGTGACAGACACATATCTGGCGTGCATAGGTATGGAAATCCCCTCTTCGTTAAGGGGATATACTCTGTTCATGGTTAGTGGCCAAGTTTAGATACACCTGCAGCTACTCCTCAAATCACTTAACGTTAAGCTGTATGTTACTTCAAGCCATTTAAAAGTTTAAAATGTAAGTTATTTTTACGAATAAAATCGCAAGAATAAGCCCTTTTTTGGAATAAACATGATTCATTTTTATGATGTATAAACACTACTACTGGAGTTGTATATCCTGATTTATCAAATATTAGGATATTATTTTCACATTGTATCTAACGTTTCTGAAATGCGTCATAAAGTAAACTATCTTGAGAAATTAAAAATTTTTAACTGGCTGAAACAACCAACGTATGCAGTCGTGTACGAGCTGACTTTAGACGAGGTTCAAAAAGTATTCATCTTCACCTTCATTAAAAAAGGTTGCAAATTAAACACGCGTCCAAAAGCATGGTTTTGCATTAAAGCATAGCTCATGAATTAATTTCTCTCCGTCTGTGGGCATGATATTTGGTGACGGCATCTTCAGTATTTCACATGGGCTACGGAGGATTGTGGTATTTTCAAGGAAAGGCGCTCCGTGGGAACAGGATGAAAATTTATTGAGTGAATTTTCGAGACTGATTCCCCAGCTGGTCTTCGGACTAACAAGAAATGTGCAAAGAACAACTAAAATGTAAAACGTGCGGAAAAAATCAACAGTTATATGGTCTGAGAACTGATTGGTAGTTGTGGCCTCTGCCTTCCAGTTTGTACGAAATGGTGGTATTATTTCACAAGCGCGATCGATAAGAACAGCCGTGAATTACAGGAAACAATCACCCGATTTCAAAAAGCAAAACAGACAAATGCATCGCGTGCCAGAATTAAAGTTTCTGACGGTGTAAAAGCAGTTTAAGCGGCCTGGAACTATTTTAAAACGCTTCCTTTTATGTGAAGTCAAGCCACAATTAATCAGATATTTTCACTGGCCTATCATGATAAATGGAAAAGCGTTATCAAGATCGAATATGTACTTGAATTATTCAGAATGCCCGTGCCTTTTAACACCCAGAATTGGTCTGTCCTACTGTAATCCCAGCTGTCAGTAGCAAGATTGAAGCGTGTAGTTTTGTGTACACCATTGTTGATGATATCCGCCATCACCAGTTCGCTTTTATTTCTCTCCCCACATTTTAACTGCATACCAAGCGCTTCCTCCGTAAGACTGGCACCTGTTACTGTATTTTAAAAAAGGCCTCGAAAAAAGGCCACTTCAACCGCGTCCTTTCCCAGACAGAGCAGGCAGAGCCAGTGAAATCGATGTTTACGGGCTGATCAACTGAGCTCTGACTCGGCAGACCAATCACAAGCGCTCTCAGGTGTTTTTTCTTCTCTCTTGATTGAGCCTTCCTCTTCCTATTTACTTACCAGCGTTAATTATCTTCTTCCACACACTCCCCTGTCAGGTTGTGATGGAGTGCGAAAGTGCACACCTCCCTCTGCCCTGAGGGGTGAAGCAAATGAAGTTGTGTTGCCACACGAACACACACACACACGTTCTTCCTGGTTTGGCTTCATGGCGAGTACACCCAACGAAGAGGCTTGGCATGAAGCCAGCCCAACGACTGCCGCTGACAATAAGAGCGGGCAAGCTGACGGCAAAAAAGCCGTGTAAGATGCAGGCTGTGTGTGCTTTCACGTGCCAAGACACACTGGGGTAATGCAGGTAGCGAGAGACTACAAACAGAAGGTAGAGGTGGGGGGCGGGGGCTGACCATATCAGTCAGGCGATGAGGATTTTGACGGTAACCGTGATACTGGGGTACCTTGGCATCACGCGCTATCCGGTTGCGTCATCGACACTTAAACTGATGATGTTATTCCTTAGAACCGACGTGTTCTGCTTAACCAGGGAGGCAGACACGGATCTGGCTACAGGGCTATTGACAGTTTTGATAATCGGTTGGATCATCATCCCGGCAACAGTAGTTTAAGTAGTGCACCTCATATACCCCTAGTCCCAACATTTCTTCCTACGGAAACGGTGGTTAGAGGGGGGAGGATTATGGGTCGGGAGTTAGGATAAGCAGTGGTATATACTTTAATAACTGCTATATGCACTTTAAGTATATTGTATTTAGAAATGACGTTGATTAATATCTGTAGATTTTACTAATCTGTATTAGCATTTGACGTATTGCGGAAAAAGGCGATTATAAAAATGCAGCGTTTTTAAAAATTCCTGAAAAAATAGAAATGGTGGTCAGGAGGTAATCTACTTCAACTTACCTGAAGTTGAACATACCATTCTGGAAATAAAATACTCTTCGTATAAACTGGAGCACACGCATCCGAAGAAATATTAATTTGAAGCTGTTCTTTGGGATAAAAAGTAACTATAATGAGTGAATTTTTGAGTTTGGCGCCCCAACTCGTCTTCGGACTAACAGGAAAAGTACAATGGACAACTACAATTTCAAAACTGCCGAAAAATAGTCATATAGAGAATTAGACGTGATTGGTGGGTGTGGCCTCAGTTAGTGTCTATCGTGCGGCCTCCGTTTTTTCCATTGTTATTTTACGCGCACACCTTCCATTTGAATGTGGAAAAACTTACTCCCAGTGAGCGCGGGAAACAAATTCAAATACATTTTTCCACTTAACACTCCTAAAAAGTTTCTTACTCGCCTATCCTACTTCCCCAACCCCAAAATCCCTATAACCACTCTTTCCGTAGGAAAAATGCTGGGACTAGGGGTATATGAGGGGAGCTACTTAAACTACCTTTGCCCGCATTTCCAAAGGAAAAAAACAGTGGCTACCTCCATTGAATTGTCGCAGAACTGTTAGACACACACTTTTTTGTTTTGCAGGACCGGACATAATTAAACCGGAAAAGTCACTTCAACAAAAATTAGGCAGTAATATATTTAGTCTTCTCACATGATCTCTTGGGCGTGCCAAATCCTGTAAGAATATGACATGCATATATGACCCGCCATCTTTTCGTACTCAAAGGTAACCTTAGCGTTCCGTTTATAAAGCGTGTTTTACCTGTTGGCCCAATGTCATATCTCATCTTCGTACATTTTAAAATAATAATTTGCTTTGATACGAACAATGTAACATAGCGGCATCAATCTGTCTTTGGATATCCGCCAAAATTGGTAACAATGAAGTTAGTCTACGACTTAGATATCCATAGTCGCTATTCCTGCGGTTACTATCACTTTTATTGGTTTTACTTTAGTTTAGTTAGATACCGCAAAAGTTAGATATATATACTTAAATAAGTCCTATATACTAAACTAAAGTAGACTTAACAAAACTAACTAAGTCATACTAAAACTAAAATTAAATAAAAACACTTATAATAGTGTTGGGCCTCGCTTTTGTTTGGGACAGCCGCGCTGCTTAATTGAGCCTTTAGATCGTAAGATTGTGAGATTTCCATGCATCTGGTAAAAGACGGCCATAAAATCCAATGAATGAAGGACAGAGTTCGCGTTCCAGCTAATTGTATAGATAAGGAAGAAAGATTGTCGAGCACCGGATCTGCCTTTTACTTTATTTTGAGCTTTTTGGCTCTTGCAGGAGTCCATCGTCAGAAATAAAAGCGTACACGTAAGGCAAGCAACAGTTATAAGGGGGAGGAGCCAATCAACCGTCATACAGGAGGGGGGGGGGAAAGAGGGAGAGAATTCACTCATCAACAGTGTCGGTCGTGCGAATATGCTTGCGGAGAGCGATGTATGCCGGCGCCAGATCGATAAATCGATTGATTGAATTCTCATCCAAGGTCAAGGCTTCAATCAATTCTCGGCCTGGGTCTCGGATAAGAACTCAGTCAATCGATCCATCGATCTGGTGCCGACATACATCGCTCTCCGCAGGCATATTCGCACACCCGACACTGTTGATGGAGGAATTCCCTCCCTTTTCCCTCCCCCCTCGCTTATGACGTTTGATTGGTTTCTGCCCCCTATAACTGTTGCTTGCTTTACGTGTACGCTTTTATCTCTGACGATGGTCTCCCGCAAGAGCCTGAAAGCTCAGGATAATAAACAAACCGATCCGGCGCTCGACAATCCTTCTTCCTTATCCATAAAAACTTGTGTGCTAATTAAATTATAGCATCCGCCATAAGAGACACATAATGCAACGAATGACAGAGACAGGAAAAGGTCACCCCCTTAGCTCGTAGCACATTAATGTTCCTGTTCATCGTTATAGGTCAGTCAAAACCTCCTAACTATATAGTCATGGAGGCAGGGCAGTTCACGGTAGGCATGTACCCGTAATGACCCTCTCGCCTGAGTGCTCACAAGTATAAAAAGCGTTCACTTTTGCAAAAGGACTAATTAATATAAAATGCACTCATAAAGTGCCCCTCACATGCAACTCGAAATAACAAGGTCAATCTTTTATATATGCAGGCATCACACCTTCTTCAAACTGCAGTCAATCATTGTCAATTTAAGGCATGGAGCAAACAGCAACTAGGTGAGTTTCCCCCCAGCCCCGTCCTCGCCCAACATTTCCGCTTTTTTGACAATAAAAGTAATAATTTAGTGTTATTACTCGACTTACTTCCTGTCTCACCTAGTCTCTGTTTAAAGGTATTGTCTGGTGTTTGAGGCCTGTTGTTGTCATTTGAGAACTTAGGGCAGGTTTGTTAAACGGTGTCAATTGTTTTGGGGGCTCAAGAATAAAGGTGTTTAAAACGTAAGATGACAGATAGGCAAAAATGTTTACGTTAAGATAAGTGTATGTATTAAAACATTTTGTTTAGTCGATAGTTGTGTAAAATATTGATCTAGAACTTCTGCACATTCACTCAGTGCTGATGTTTAATAGGTCTAAGCAACTGACTGATCGATATTTCGCAAAATGTTATAGGTATTTACAGTTTGTATTTCATGTGAGCACATCGCAACTCCCACAATTTTGTATGCACATCATATTAAAAAGAAGGAAATGCGATCTCGGGGAAAAAAGAGTTTTAGTCGGTTGATGTGAATTCACGTCTGAATCAATGGTCAGAGACAGTAGTTGGTGCAATACATTAGCTTTGCCTGGAGTTAACTCAAATGACCGAGTCAAGCGCGAATCAGAACTGTCGAATAAATAAAACTCCTGCTCACGTGATCGCATCTCATTCTGCTTCCAAGAACTCGGCTCCTCCCTCCTTCTGTTAGCCACATCTTGGATTATTGCCTTCAAGGACCTCTAATCTCTCCCTCGGAGGCAAATCATGCTCACTTGTCTAAGTAACCTTTTATTTCTCAACGTCCTTGCCATAAACCATGATGTCCGGTACGTGACGTTTGCTAAGTCGTGTGTCATGCCTAGATCAATAAAATTACAGAAATATCTTTGTTGGCAAACTCGCACCGATCGCTAATTTAATTCATCTCTGCCTTGGGGCTCATTCCCGAAACATGCAGTCGCACAACGGCTAGTATGTTAGACAGATGCACATTGCCATCGCAAACAAGAAGACAAAAGTGACCGTTTCTGGATCATTAGGCCTCATCAGTCAGTCATACCCAGACCCAAGTGGTGTCTAGCCCCAACCTCGAAATCGCAGCCTTTTTGAGCCGAGTCAAACGCCCTAACCATTGAGCCACGAGCTCGCCGTCCCGCCGGTTTAGGTCAGGGGATATTGGCACTCGTTGATGAAAGTTCACCTGACTGCTAACGGAGCTCATCTGTCTTGACGGTTAGCGGTCAGTGAACTTTTAGCAGGCAACGCTTTAATTGTCCGAGTCAAG